TTATTTTTATTTAATAATGATTTTCTGATTGATTTTTCATCTTGTAAATTCTCATTGACTGCTGATGTATTAGGTCGATTATTAGTAATAGTTTGTGATGGATATCTGAAAATCTACTAGACAACAGAATCTTAGTAACATCAAATTGCTGCTGTTATCCAGCATCCAGTCGATAACCAAAACACACAATTGATGTATCAATCCATTTGAAAACTGGCCAATGAATCTTGTCATCATGAAAATGAATTGTAAAAGAGTCAATCACACCTGTGCAACTATGAAATAAAATTACATTAAAAAGTATTCAATTATTAGGATATACATATATATATATTATTGTGAAAAAGTCTGTATATTTACCTAGAGGTGTTTGTAATAGCAGAAATTCAGTGCAAAATGCTAATAAATATTTTTCCAGTCTATTAGAAGCTAAGGCACTAAAAGAAGCAATTGTCAAGAAAAATACAAATGCTGCTGGTACAATACGCCAAGACTGACGTAATCTGTAGAATAAAGAATGTAAAGCTTATAATGCTCATAATGAAAATGTTAATGCTAAAAGTTGTAAAGTACATTGACAAAACTATATTACCCTCGTCTGTTGATTCCACCTCGAGGGCAAGCTGAGAACATATTTGCCCAAAAAGTGCCAACAACTACAGATATAGCAGGAACATATTGACAAAATTGGCATAGATCATCAGGACCCCATTGAGATGCAGCAATATCGATTTGAAAATGCTTACTAGTTCTATTGGCAGTACTTACGGAAATTGATTCATTCTTTTCTTCTGCACCATATGAAAAACCTACAAACAATATTAATTTTTGCAACAAATATAACTTAACAAGTTTTAATTTTAAATTATAAAAATAATTCTTAAATCAATTTACACTTTGTATTTAAGACAAAATTTAATTTTCAAATAAAGATATTTGAAACTGACACAGGTTGTATGACGAGTATTACTTTACGTCACACACAATATATTAATGTAATTTTTACCTTGTTCGAAAAATGAATCATATTCATTATACAACTTTGTAGGTCTTATAACATCAGGAACTTCTTTAAATTTTATATGACTTTCAAGAATGCAAACTCCACCAAATCCTTCATATATTCTACCTGTTGAGCAATGTATGAGATCATAGCTGTTACAGCCGTTGTTGAGCATAAAATTATAGCAAAAACTAAAAGAATATTTAGGTAGAAACACAATATGTGTAAAAATCACATATAACAGTCATTTATTTAAATTAATATTTTTGTATAACTACCTTTCCATAAACTACTAATTTCTTTAGAATCCCTTTCCACAAGTTTTTGAATTCTATATAAAACTGCCATAGCGGAAAATTTTAATTTGTGTGAAATTTAAATATATTCTGTAAACATATTTTGAATTTAATACAAATATATTAATATATATTAAATTTATATTGTAGTTAAATAGTATCATTATAATATAATTTTTCTCTGTTAATAGAGATGCATCTACAACAAATTTATTTTTATGTTTTCAATTATTTTTTAACACAAATTTGGTTAATTTTAGATTTTAAGTAAATCACCTGATGAATATCTCAAAAAATTTTCAAATTCAAATAATATGTTTCAATACTATACAAAAGAATTTTTGCAAAATAAAAGGAAGGAAAAATTAATAAAACTTTATCATTGTACAAAAATTTAAGGTAGTATATATATGTATTAAACTATTATTATATATTTATATTTTATACATACCTATCAAAATAACTGTAAAATGAGATTAATCAATCATATATCACATACTTAAAATTAAATATTATTATTAGTAATAAAAAAGTAAAATATATTGTGATGTTCTTATCGATACGGAAATGAGTAAACATTACGTTTAATTTAAATTTCGCGGATTAAAACTATATCTTAAGATATAATAAAAAAAAACTAAATATCTTAAGATAAACTAAAAAAATATATAAATGATTTGTAATCTAACATAAACATATTTCAAATAAATTTAGGAGTGATACAACTCGCTTGACATTTAAAGAATGCGTGCGCTTCTATCTAATGTTGTTTTTATATTGCATTGATGCTCAATTTTAGGGTTTCTTTTACTAAAAAATATTAAAATTTATATTCAAAAAAAATATCATTTCTATTCTAAATTGGTTAAAAAATTTTTACATAAAATAATTCTTAAAAAAATAATAACTAAAAGCTATTTTGAATAATGAAGAAAACGGAAGGCAGTTGGAAAACGACCGCACTTTTGTTAAATCTGCGAACGGATGTTTATTATAATTGTTTGCGTTTGTTACAAATGGGATCTGGACTTTAGATTAAGTTTATATTTATTGGCCATGCAATTCGAAATGTAGCTTTTTTCCCATTTTTTAATTTTTATTAATATTTACAGTGTTAATCTGTAATCAATTCAAATATTGCAACAAATAGGATAATCACAAGTCAAACAAATATATATACATAAAACAACTTAACTTAAATATTTTGAAATATATTAATATTAAATAGGCTATAATTTATTTTAAATAAAATCTTTTTCTATGTACTGTAGTGCTCTTATTATAATTCCTGGATTTTGTTCTTTATTGTCTTTACACCAACACATCCTTTTCCAAATAATTTAGAGGTTTGTCTACTATATTATGTGACTTATTATTTTGCATATTGTTTCTGTTAACCATTGAGTTATTTGTTACTGTACTGTTTGATAATTCTTCAATAATGTCTTTACTTAAACTATTACTAATATTTTCTTGAGCTGGCTTCAGAGGCCAACTTGGTTTCTTTACTACTCTTGAATCTGTAAAATTTTCATGTATGTAAATTAAACTAATTAAACAATAAATTTCTATATAATAAAATACAAAGAGATTTCTGACCTAGATCAGCAACAAGTCTTACAACTTCTCGCAATTGAGTATCTTGTTTCTCTACAAGAAAGCCAATTCCCGAATTTGCCTATTCATTGAATCTACTTGCTCTACCGCGAGCTTCTTCTTTTGCAGTTTCTTTCAATGATTGTCTATAAAATTTATTAATAAAATATGTATTATTAAACATAGTAATTAAGTAAATTAATATCACTAATCCAACCTCTGATATTCGAGAATCAACAATGCAGATGCAATAAAGAATATAATTCCTTCTCCCAGAAGATTTGCGCCTAATTCAATGGCCATGGCTTCATTTAAAGTAGGTATGTGTACAGGTTTACCCAAATTCATAATCCACATCTTCGTTTTCACTTCACACCAATTGTAAACTACAAACAAAAGATTGCTATAATCGCTATAATGATACAGGCATTACATAAGAACTCAACGAGATTGCATATTGGATAAGATATTTTAAATGTAAAATATATGATTTGAACAAAACCTTATTTACATATGCTGTCCACGTGTATTTTCATTTATTCATATTTCCAAGAAGTAGATTTATAAGAAATGTTCAAAGAACATTAACCAAATTGTGATATTTTTTGACTAACTATATTTGAAAGTATTTAGAGTATGAAAAGTGACATTGAGCAAATTGTAATTGATGTTTAGTAATCTGAATAAATAAAGTAATTTTATTTTGTCTACTAACTTTACTTTACCAGGAATGACTTCATGATCTTAGAACAGTAAGTTAATCAAAATGTTTAAGTTGATTTGGAACAATTAATAATAAAGACGTTCATTGAACAAATATAATATTGTGGAAAGAATAAATACCACTTACATTGTGCAGGTGGCATACAAATGTATGTTCTAAAAAATGGACTGTTTTTAGCTCGTTCTTTGGGCAAAATTTGCTATAGGTTTGCTGATTTGTTTCATCAGCAAAACACCTAATTTTACGACTGGGAAAGCACCCACAACCATTTTGATTGTTGATTTTGTATATGTGTATCAAATTATTTCATCTTTCATTAAAGAAAGTCAAAGAATATATGACAGTAACTTTAACCTAAAAAATGTGCTTCATTGTGACGACTGTGACAGTTGTAATAAAAGTCAATAAACATCCAATGTAATTACCCGAGATGGCGCCGTTGTGAAGTCTTAATTAACTCAAACTTTAAATAAATTCAAGTTTAATCAATTATATTTTATTCACATTTTTACATAAAATATATTATTTCTTTTTATAAGTATCCATTCATAAATTATACCTATAAACATATAGTAAAATATCTGTCAATCTAAAATACTTCATTAATCATTTCAAAGATAAATAAATAACAATTTTTTTTAAACATTTTTTTTTTACAAATGAATACTTATATACATAATCATCCAAGCATGGATTAATTATAAACCTAAAAATATTTTAAAATTAATAATGATTACTAATTTATGACTTTTCTTAACTATATACAATTAAGTTTATACAAATTTCAAATTTAACATTTCATGTCAAAAAGTTAAGAAAAATCACATTATTCTTAGCAACAATTTAAATAGACTTAGAGTATCACATATACAAAATAACAAATGCATAATTATACACATTTTCAGTGACGACGATCGTCTTCGTGTTTGGGAATCAGGAGAGCTCTGCACAAGACCATTCCTTATAACTGGTGATGCTTCAGTAGTTGATTCTTCTAAGGAGCTACTTGGGGAACTCATGGAAGAACTGTGCATTGAACTGTCACTTTCAGAGTCTGTACTAGTGCTAGATATAGTTCTTTGAACAGATGCAAAATAGTCTCGTTCACGTCTCAGTTCTAAATTCTCAGCGAGCAATTCTTGAATGCGAGCGGCCTGCTCTTGTAGCTTCTCACTTGTTGCAGCATCACACTCATTACCAGATTGTTTGTGCATTCTTTCAGATTTTGCATTTCTAATAGTTTTTGTGAGATGATCTAGACGAGATTCCATGAGAATACATTCTTGAATTAGTTCATTTTTAGTCATAGCATTAAGTCTCTCACATTGAGCATCTTCATAGACACTAGAAAATTCTTTTATTAGGAAATCTTCCTCATCTTCAGGTAAAGACATGAAGTAGTTGTCTTCAGAATCGACACTAAGCTAGAGTCTCGAGTTCTGGCAGATGGAATCCTTGGTTGAGGTACATCATGATCTTCCATGAGAAATTGGTTCGTGTTACAAGGAACTAATGTGTGCCCCATGGCTAATATTTTAGCACGGGCACTACGAACTCTCATCATTTCTTTTTGGACATTCTTACGTTGGGTCCAGGCTGTTTTATTGTACGGTTTATTAGGTTTTCTCTTACATTTACCTCGTCTATGTTTTTTCTTCTTCCCATTTGTTGCACCCACTTGGTTTGCTTCTTTTCTATCACTATCATTTCCTTTTTCTCCTGATAGAGGCGCTTCAGTAGCGCTTGTTTGAAGCGGGCAGACATTTTGGACGCTGTACTGCGGTTGTATTATTTTTGGATTTTCCGATTCAATATTTTCAATTTTTACACTCATTTTGATGTTCAACAGTATTAATAAAAAACACTTTGATTGATATTTACTCACTATTTCTTCACCTGCTGGCTAATTACCTTGGAGCACTTGAGCACTACAACGATGCGTTTTAGCGTTTTCGCCATTTTTGATTTTTGATTGTGCTTCATGTAACTACCACTATGTTTACAGCGCTCCAGTGTGGCCCGTGCACAATTTTAACACATATTTCATAAAATGAAAATGACTAATTTTTATTTAAAATTCTAAATATTTAAAGTTGAATAATACAATGATGTTTAAATTTTTTTAAAATAATTATTAGTTGTTGTAAATTATTTATACGATTTTTCAGGAGTTGAACAAAAATTAAAATCTGTAATTAATTAATAATATGTATAGATATTATATGTAACCTTAACCTTCATAGGAATATTAAGTTTATGTAGTCTATTGTTTTTTATATATGACATTAATAGTTAACGAAAAAAATACGTTTTGTTTTAATATTTTTGGTTTTATCATTAACCGCATCATCCGCAAATTTTTGCAAAAATCTGATTAAAATCAATCGACAATAGAATTAAATTACTACTACTTAAAAAACTGTATAATAAATTTCTGTTAAAATCATTATTATTGAGCTGATCATGTATAAGTCATATCTCATTGGGATTCTTCAAATAAGCGTATTCAATATAAATTTATAATTTAATATCTAACTTAAATTAACAGTTAAATAAAGGTTTAATAAAAATTTAATTCCATACAACAATTGCAATTTAAATATTATGAAAAAATCACAAATATTAAAATTTCATGTAAATAACAAATTACTAATTTGTACACTTTAGTTCTTATTAAGTGACAATAATTTATAAATTGTTTACATTAATAGCTAATAATATTGGTAATTCTTGCTTATTATTGTTTGAAATTTTGGTTCAAATGAGTTACATTTTCTGGCATAAATACGTACGTTCGATCTACGGGCAAATACGAAGTATTTTTGAAAAAATGTTAGGAATAATTTAAATATTTGTATTTTTTATTATTATACGTAAATATTTAAACTATAGACCTTATAATACATGTGTATTAGTCTATAATTTAAACAAATAAATTGATTTTGTTTTTCTTTTTTAATATTGAAAATGTGCTAAGTAAAGTACAATTGTGAACCGGCCGTCCTAATATAGTACGGATAATATTATCAGGAACTGTTCATCAGCTGCTTGTTTTCATGTTGCTAGAGAGACACTTTTACAGCAGAGTGTATCTATCCAACATTTTAATAAAAAATATATGTCATGAGGAAATAGTACCCGCAAACCTCATCAGCGGGCTGCACTTTTCTATTTCTAGAACGCAAAATAAAAATACTTGAGTCAGTGAGAAATTTCAATTATTTTGCACGATGGAGAAGGTTTTCTAAATAGATCCTTAAACGAATGGCTTTGAAAAATTAGATTTATTAGTGCTTCATCTTCTATGGTATTACCATAAAGCACTAGAAATAAGTCCTGATGTACATCTAGGTCCTGTGAAATGCCACTTACCATTTTGTTTTAAGGTATGTTGGAAAAACCTACCAATATTAGTAAATAATGGACTTAATGAAAAAAATTCAACCACTAGTTACGAAGAAACGGTTCGGCCGATCTTTATCACAAATTAATCTGCACGATTTCCAACAAATGCCTTTCAACAAACGGTATTTATATCCAAAATCATTCAGAATTTCTTGCGAAAAATCCAAGACAATTTTTTTTGCAGTTTTCTGCAAATTCTTAAAAAAACGATGGTCTCGCCAAACTAATCAATGCGAGTCTTTATCGAGATTCATCGAATGTCTTTTATAGTTTTTAAATGTATTATGCACTTTTCGAGAAAATGTAGAGTAAAGGTCAAACTTTGGCTCACATACACACACATACTCTAATTTTGATATCAAAAGATTTAGAATGACTTAAATGTCGAGAAAACATAAGTTCAGCAAATCGGATTTTCTGGCGATAATTTCTTCAGGGAGTTATTAAATTACCATATATAAAACGAAATACGAGAGGATTGTTAATAATATATCAATAGTTTATACGAATACTATATACATTAGCATATAGTATAGTAGTATTGCAGTATTGTGTGCAATATTATATTCTTTCGCAGTTTATGAAAAGCTCAAATTTCAAAAATTCTAAACTTTCATAATAGGTAATATTACATGCATTGTTTATTATTATTTTGTTACTATATAAAATTAACTATATGTAGCCGAATAAAAAAGTGCTTTAAGGCAAATTGCTAGAACTTCCCGTACCGTAATAAAATGTTCGAGGAATATTAAATGTTTTCAGTCAGATTATTATAAATACTGTAACATTGAATAATATTTATAAGAATTATATAAACTGAATTAAAAAGTTAAAATTATTAATTTAAAGTATATAAGTGAGCTTTAGAACTTTAGCCGGAATTAAAACTAAAACCTGAATTATTTTCAATATTTATTTTTCAAAAAAAATTGAGATTTTTTTTTCAAAAGCAATTATTTTGTCAAAACAAGCAGAAAGTTTTCTGAATCATTCAAATCGGATGCTTATTTCTCTTAAAAACTGCCGTTTTTTCACATTTAGCTCGGTATCTCCGAAACGGCTGGACCGCCTTTGCCAAACACTAATCACCACTTCTTCCCTTAATTAAAAATTAAATATTTTTTGGACGATTCAAATCGGTTGAAGCATGCGCCCGAAAACGTGCTCGAAAAATGGTATCCATACATACATATACACACACATATACGCACACATCGATTTTTTCTGATTGAGGTATGTTAAAATGTTCAAAACGTGAAGAAATGTAAAAATTTTCAATTTCGATTTTTGGACGATTACAATGACTTACCCTAGGGAAGTTAATAAATAAATAGTTTGGATTCATACGAAGGAATAAATTGAATAATTAATAACTTTATTTCAATAGCATAAAAAAACTTGTTTTTAGTTAAGCCACTGTTCTAATGTAACTTTTTTATACAATTTATATGCATGGGCATTAGGTGGATTGAATAATTGTTTACTACATAAAGTTCTCACTAAACTATTTATTTTTGCTACATACGAATATTAAAGCAAAAATATTGTTTTTAGTAAGAGTACATTCGTAAGAAAATCTTTGGATGACACCGGAAAACCTCTTATGTGAAGGCTTACTTTTTATCTTTTTCATAGTTTACATATTGTGTGTTCAGCTCTTGTTTGTACAAGCTTGTTCTATTTATTAAACAGAGGGGTATTAATTTGAACCCGAGTCATATGGTCGCAGGTTTTGCTGTCTAAATAAACAATTGAGCAAAGAGACGGCGCTTGCCAACAGCAATTTGAGGTCCTAAATAATATAATAAGATATAAAATTTATTTCTCTTTAAATTACATTGTTGTTATTATCCCTGTGCTTTTATTAACACATTCAAGAATATTTTATTTGGCATAATAGAACTTGCGTATTCGACTTTTTTACATCAACGTATGTAATACGTTTTTATCAATAATAGCTTATTATTGATTATTGAATAAGTCACAAAAAATATTTTTGTTTAAAATACATTGTTGTTATTCTGATACTTAACTTAATATGTTCGAAAATATTTTATATATTATAAAGAACTTACGTAATCGATTTTATACATCATCAACGTAAATATCTAATACTTTTTATCACAATGAAGTGTTTGATTGTTAAATAGCTGGTTAATGATTGGTGAATTTATTCATTTTGTAGAAGTTATTTTGCATTATTAATAATGAGTGAAAAGCCAAGCAAAATGTCATTACTTAATTGTGGATGTAATTCAAGGTTGTTCTCTTCAATTGATAGATTTACAAAATATATTTACAAAAGTCAAAGTTCAAATTATTGAAATATATTCTAATTTTCTTATGCCTTTTTAATATAAATTTGAACTTTTATCGTTATAACATTATATGATTCTTTCAAATACTGACAATTTTTCAGATTTCTGGTTCAGGCACGCTTCAAATTAAATTTGATGTGTTCCACCTCGATACAAGTAAACTTTTCACATAATAAGATATAAATTTACCAAGAGCAGATTAATTTATTAGAAATAAATGCCTCAAAACAAATTTAACTTTTCAAGTTAGTAATTGAATTGCCAAATTTATAAACATTCAATTATGCTGCAAAACAATAATTCGTAATTTTTGTAGAATCAGGTGATTATGTTTATAAAATCAAAGATTATTCCATACAACAGCCCTTTCTGATTAAAATATTTATCCCATATATTATTATCAGATCCTGCATATTTAATTTTTAGATCAAACACAATAGACTAAATCACCAGTCAAATTAATCATTGAGAATTTTAAGATGCTATATACTCATATAAATTATTTAATTATTCAGTGAGAATTACATATAAATATAGGTAAAATATTAAAATATAATATTTAAGTTGTAATATAAATACTGTAAAATAGGTTTATATAGTTAGTTGTCTTGAATTCAATTATTCTGAACGATATTCAGTTAGCTCATATTAACATTATGCATATGTGACATATAGATAATTGAAGTAAACAATTTGAATTTGTAATGTATGTACATTATCAAAAGTTCCAAGCAAGCGAAAATTAATTCATGACTTCGAGGTGTATCTACTTGTTCCAGTAGATTCTACTTTAAATATATATATGTATATGGAAATCTTTCCTTCCGAGTATATAAATTTGGTAAATATCATAAATTTATAAAATTCTCCAGATTTTCAAGAATATTGATCTGAGCTCCAGTTCTTCGGTTGATTGTACGTCGTGTTATTAGAATTCCAACCTTTACGGAATGGCAACATCTATAAGTCATTGAAAATTTATCGAATAGAAATCATTAAATGCAAAACAACTTTATCCGAATATGCGATATTTGAATGAGGCGTGCCTACTAGTAATTATACACGTTCTGCATCAAAATATAGATCAATCATAGTGATGATTAAAACGAAAACAGTTTAAGGTAAGCATGGAGTAGTGATTAAGTGGAATTTTGATGGTAAACTTTATAAACTTGTAAGCTTATAAGTCTAAAATAATATTATTACAAGTCTCATGCTTTTTTCATATAGGGT